AGCGTCCTTGCAATCTTTATCTTTTTCTATATTTTACCATTGTTCTGTGTGGTCAACGGCCTCACATCTTCTTACCACCCCTTTATTTAGGTTCCACCACCACTAAGTTATCTTAACTTGGTTTTTGTTTAGTTTTTTTTTTTTTCGTTCTGAAAGTTTATGGCATACTTTGAAGTGAGTTTTCAGTTTGGATAACTTTTGTTTTAATCTTTTTGTTAGAAGTTCCATTTCTGGATAGTTTTTGGCTTGTTAAGCACATCTTGGCTCAGCTTCCAGAAATATCTGTTTAAAATAAGCTGCTCGGAAAAAATTCAAGCCTGATTCTTTCTAAAACCGATTGTGCCCCAAGAAACCTCTCACGAATACGAGAAGCTTCACATAATAGAAAGAAAATAAAAAATAAATCATTTATAAATGCTAGTTGTTCCTGTTGGCCTAAGGACTTGCAAGTCCTTATGCTATTGAGATTAAATTTTCTTTTCTTCTTTGTTTTTGACGCAGAAAGTTTCTTCAGTTCAAATCTCTGTACCTACATTAGGGTGTTATTTTCAATCAAGTTCAAAAGAAAATAAGTAGTGGTGGTACATACCAAATTGACGAAGTCTTTGTAGAAGCATGAGATGAATAGTTACGCTTGGTGCTATAGTATGTTTTTTGAAATTGCTTTCAGAAGTTGTGGTCGGGTTATATGGCTGAAGTTGTGTGAGGCAAGAACTTGTACTCTACATAAAGAGGCCAGCCATCACCAAGTGGAGGCAAGAACCGGAAAGAGCAAGCCAAGCTGAGCCGTATGGTGTCGTTTCTCAAGGTCAATGAATCGAGGTTAAAATTTGGCATGCCTAGGGCTCAGCTTGGCTCAGTGTATATGCATTCTTATTTAAACTCTTCTTTCTGTGAAGAAAGTAAACAGTACAAATGGATGTTGAGATAGATAAAAAAGAATTCAAAATGAATTATGATCTGGAGTGACATTCCTGTGGATCTTGACCTCCTGGGGTATTTCACCGTCCTGTTTTCACTAGGATAAATGTTGCATAGCATGAAAGCTAAATGAATTGGTCAATAATCCATTGTTTATCACTTTATCTTATTTGTTGTTTGATCTTATTCGTCATCTCATGCTTGGTGCAGAGGAGGTTGCTTTCATCATACGGCTTGGGTGCTGAAAAAGATAAAATGGGCCTTCCTATAAAAACTGATTTCAGAGGTAACGCAATCCAAGCTGTCTAAGAAGCTGGAGGAAGGTTCAGATGATTCGTGGTCATTGCATATGATTGGTGGAGACAATGGTACGAAGAGAACCGTGTAATGAAAAGATGTGCATCTAGTATGTTCATATGCTTCAAACTTGCAAGTTTCCCGTATGTTGCCATCTCCATCCTGTATATATCTCGTTGGGGGGAGAATGTGGGAGCAGTGTATGCTTTGAGAGGTTGTATGTACTTGTGGAGAGTAGATTATATAGGGCTTGAGCTGTATTATAGGTAGATTATGTAGTGCTTGTGTTGTATGTTGTGCCCCTCATTGGTTTTGTCCTACAAACGCGCAATGGATCAGACACTTTGTAGCAGTGTGTTTGGCATACTTGTTTGAGATGTTGAGAAGAAACGAAAATGACCTGTGGTTTGAGTAAATGGATCAATGATATAATGCTTGTGAAAAAATACTCTAGGTGGAGAGGAAGCAAAGTGCTATAATAAGGGGTGTTAAAAATGAGCTCAAATATAGAGATAACCTGCCTAACTCGCCTAGAATTTTAAGGTTGGGTTCATTTGAATTGAGTCAATCTTAACGCATTATAGCTTTCATTTAAGAAAATTCTCAATTGAGCCTAATTTAATCTTCAATTTTGATCTGTTTTAAGACTTTATTTGCATTAATGTAATGTATGTTCATATATTGAAGTTATAATTACTATTTATTTTATATTTTTTAGGATTTATTTATCCATTTGTAATTTTTTTGAAAAAAAAAATTGAGTTGAAATTTAAATTGTGGTTAAATAAGTTAAAATTATTGAGATTAAGTGGGTTAAAATGGGTGGGTCCTGATCCAAATTTTTAGCATATTTGAGCCTAACTCATTTGAGCTCAAATTAAACTTGGGCGGATCATGACACAACCCAATATCTATTTCTTCAATTTCAAACCAATCGGCTCAGTTGACTCCCATAATTATAATGCTTCAATAGTGAGAAAACATACCTCAGCTTCGTAAGAATGGGATACTATGTCATCATAATTGAGACGTAGTGAAGTGAACTTGCTAGATCATCTAGGCGAAGGCATCAAAACAATTGACATGAGAGTATGTAGCACGATGTTATTTTTGTTCCAAAACATATTTGTATTTAACTTTGCGCGACTGATAGTTGGCAGGAGAAAGGATGGGAAGAAGATGGCTTAGTTATTGAGTAGAAAATACAACTAATTATTATCCTAAATTGCCATTCAAAGCACAAATTAAATGGCTCAGAAATTTAATCTTTCACTACTAAAAATATGAATCAGTGGCCGGGGAAAAAAATCAAACACTACGTACTAGCTATTTTGACCTCTCTAAAGAGGAAAAATATATCAAAAAAACTACTGCACCTTTTCATGCAAGTCAATCATTGAAGTAGTTAAAGAATTCACTAAAATTCTTGATGAATAGAATGAACCTGTGCCTAAAGTAATCAATCCAATCCAAGATCCTCAATTCTTTGAACATGAAATTATCCCATCTATTTTGTCAACAACTTTCTTCTTCATCTCTGTCATTGTGCGATCCAACTCCTCAAGTTCAGTCATACCCATATCATCAAGTGGCACCTCCAGTCCCAACGTCTCTTCATCTTCATTTGTCCCAATCACTGCATCCTCTGCCTCTTCATGAACCGGAACAACTTCACCGAGCTCTGGACCAGACATGGCAGCAATGTAGCGGTTCACCACGTTGTCAACGGAGGGATGGCCGAATGCAAAGATATTGCCGGCCAAAGAAAACGTGATCACAGCCGCTTCAGCGTCGCATCTTTTCACCAACTCCTTGGTTTTCTTAAAAAGACCTTGCCTACGTTTTGTGAAAGTGGTATGCCTTTTAGCCTTATCCTCAATTCTCTTGATTTCAACTTTTGTACGTACCATGGTTGGCAGAAATTAACCTGCAATTTTTGAAAGGGTTTAAATCTAGGGTTTAACTTTTCTCCACGTAAAAAGAAGAAGAAAAACGTACTGGTAACTAGAAAATTAAACCCTAGATCTTCTGAACCTACTGGACCAACAATCCAACTTTCTACTAGAGATCGATCACAATTTTATAAAGTTAAAACCAGTTGTACAAGAATTCATACAGAAAAAATCATAGACAGAAACTACTAGTACAACTAATAAACAAAATATTGGGACGGATGATAGTATAGAAACGTGATAATTCCATTGAAGTTGATAACAAGTTAGTACAATCCAATGGATACAAAAATTACTCGTACGAAAGTAAAATCAACAAGAGCGAGAGAGAGAGAGAAAATCACCAATGGCCTTTTCTCTTCTGGACGAAGAACTTGGCTTTGCCGCCAAGCAACAGAGAGGCGCTCTTTTTGTTAATGCGAGAGGAGGTAGGGGGATGAGGGTATTGCGACTCTCTTTATATAGGGGTGGGAATTCATTTAGTGAATTTGAGGTTTTTTTATTTTATTTTATTTTTTAGTAACATATCTTATTTTAAGGTTTCAAATCATCATAATAATTAGGGGTGTTCTGGATAAAAACTTATCCAAATCAAATCAAATCAAATCAATTTTATTTGGGTTTGGTTTGGTTTTATAGTCTTAAAAATCGATAGTATTTGGTTTGGTTATGATTTTGTTCGAATAAATCAAAGAAATAACTTAACCAAATCGACAAATTATATACATAATTTCTATCATTATACGTACATAATATATTATTTTTATTATAACAATTTTAAAGATCTTATATATGTTTTTATCAAAATGTATTTCTAATTTACCTATGAAAGCAAAAATGTTCAAGTGAGAACATTTATCTTATTGATTTCATCATTTTCATGTATATGAATGTCTGAATTTGAATCTTTATTGATAGTGTGAATTTAATGATCGAAACATTTGTAATGTCAATCATTTAAACTATTTTTCATTCTAGGCAAATAGTGAAAACTCACTCTTCCTTCTAGGCAAATTATAGAATTTTGAAGCTTTATTGATAGTAAATTAAATGATCGAAACATCTGCAATGTCAGTCATTTTAACTATTTTTTTGTTTTGAAAAGATTGTTATCACTTTTTCACATTTTAAATGATATGTTTCTTTTATTTTTGTGTATTGTTAATAACTGAATCAAATCGAATCGAAACCAATAGCAACCAAACCGATAAATATATAGTATCAAATTGGTTTAATTTTGATAATTTTAAAACTTATTAAGTTGATTTGATTTTGATTTTGACCAATAACCGACCCAAATTGACCTGAGAACACCCCTAATCACAATTTCCAAATGATATATTGCTCGACTACTTAAATAATATTCCTTTAGTCACTTTTTAACTGTGTTTCCTTTTTGAAAATCAAAACGATATGAATTTTGACTAACGTTTTAAGATATATTTTTCATTATATTGATATGAAAAATATTGCAATTTATAGTACTTTCCATATAGTTTTTGAATGTCTAAGATTTTATTTTAAACATCAAACTAATGTTATCTAATTTAGTTTAGAAAATTAGTTAAATTAACTCTCATAAAGCGTAATATGACAACTAAAAAGACATGGAGGGAGTAATGCTTTCACATTTGAAGTAACTGTAGTGTTATTTTACATTTGGAATGTGTGACATTGCAATTACCAACAACTATCTACAACACCTTCATTAGGCTTGTTAATGAATTTGTTTAGAAATATCATCATGAATAGAATATATGAGTTTCATTTGAGTATTAAGGTCAAATAGAGAATTAGTTTGTTATGAAGTTCATCCATTCCAGAAATGTGTGAGTTCAAGTAGGATCTTTATCCTGCAATTCAAACTGAGTTGAAAATTGTAGGTCTAAGTTAATTACTACAACTTATAAACAACACTCGAGATATAACAACCTCATAGACCAGCTAGTATAAGTTGCACTGTCCTCCTTTTTGCTTTCTTTCATTGCATTTTCCTTGCAACAATTATCTACTAATACAAGGCACTAGAGAAATTAACCAGACAGCTTCTTTAGCACCATCCATGCCCATCGTTGCTACTCCGCCTCCATATTTGAAATAGGAATAGCCTGAATTGTGGTGCTATACAACACAGTTCTTTCCGGGGAAAAATAAAAGACATGTCCAAGAAAAGGGAAGGGAATAAGAGAGCGAGCGGGTAACAATCAGATCAGGAACACAAGGAAGATCAAGAAGAACTGACGAGAATTTCCACAACCATGTTTGCACAATATAGCAAGAGATGTTGATACAGAGGCCCTTTCCAGCCACTCCTCACTGATGTATGTAGAGATGACAGACAAGCAACCCTAAACCCACCACCTAGTACGAAAAAGTAGAATCTAAGTATTACGTCATTTCCCCTGATATCTTGCCCATAAGTGATGGTCTATATCAGTACCACATGAAAGACGTTAACCTTAAATTGCAAACTATCTATGTCGCATTCCCATGTCAAGCTCGTGACCATACATCCCCTGTCCCCGCCCAGCAGGAAAGGGGTGAATCTGCTTAGAAGCCCTAAGCTCCATCTCGAAAAGCCTTTGCAGGGCATCAGGATGATTGTTTCGGCTGTTGATATCTGGCCCTGAGGACGAAAAGAATATGATATAAACTCACACAGATGGTCAAACATCAATAGTTCATCTTCAATCAGAAAAGTGGTACCAATTAAAAGAACTAAGAGTGCAAGACCTTTTTTTACAATACATGATATGTGGACAATATTCTACTTTGTTCTAGATTTTCAGGGTGCAATAATATTCAGCAAAGCATATCTCGAGACATTGCATCCAGAAAAGAAGTAGGCATGCGAAAAGCAATTTACTAGTTCAAGTCTCAAAAGCCGACATGCTTCACAAACAGAGTAATCTGTAGCAAAAAAGAGCTGAATAGTAACACAAGAATAGCTACTGGTTTTACTTGTAAACGGCTAGATAGAAACTGCAGAAAGGAACGGAAAAAGAATGAGCAGCTTGATGAAAAAATCGACAAGAATGAGCAGATACCTACTTGAAGTCATTTAGACCTACAGGTTTTCAAAGGCAAGCCAAGGCTGATGATGGCGAAAACACAACTTGGTCATGTTAATCCTCAATTTTGACTAGATAAAAATTCAAAATCTATCAGGAAAGGAAGTCTTGGAAAGATGAATAAGTTCTCCGTAAATACAAGAGATAATTTAAACAATGAGGTGTATGGTGGCAGTAACCAATGGAGTAGAACTCCAAACAAATTGCAATTCAAGTGTATTGTCGTTTCCATCAGTAGAGAATGCAATTGAGACGGTGCAGGCAGGAGATAGCAAGAATGGAATATCAACATCGCGACAGTAGAATTGAGAAATAAGCAGAAGGTGTTGCAAAGATTAAGAAACCCGTTGCTTTTATTTTAGCAAAGATCAAAGAAGAGAAACTTATTATTGAGGTGTAATCCAAAGAAGAACAAGACATAGACGGAGCTGTAGAGACAGCACATCAAAATTTTACCTGGAATTTGCATCCCAATCCCATTAACATTGACTTGGTGAGGCTTAAAAGGGAACCCTTGCATTGGGTTAGCTTCATGCACAAAGCCAGCTGCCTGATTACTGGAATGTGAAGGAACTGGACCACCACTTAGACGGTCATGTAGCAGATGACGGGGGTGAGATCCAGACATTTGCATCTGCTGCAGCATAGGATGATGAGCAGGAATATCAAACCCTGTCACCCTAGCATTAGGGTGGTGAAAAGGAGGTCTTATCATATTTCCAGCAAATTGATGACCTGGAAGAGCATCGTGTCGAGTCATGCCCTCTGGACCAGACAAAATCTGAGTGTTCAAATGAGCAGGACGAGAATCCAATGGATGAAGTAATGGTTTCCTTTGACTCATTTGCGAATGGTGAAACTGAGAAGATGATGGTTGACCATGGAGATGGTGAAACAGCATCTCAGACTCTATCTGTTCATGAGAAGCCCGTGGAAAGGGCAGTGCTCCTGGACCCATCAAAGACATTTGATCACTGCCAACTGAATTAACAGTCACCAAGTCACCTTTACCCATATTTCCTGCGGGCATAAACGTTGAGACCTGGGGTACCAAAGGATCACCAACACTAAATAACCTCTCTCCTTCAGGTAGATGAAATCCACCAGCCCGATAATCACCATTTCTGGAGACCGCTTCAGTCTGGCACCTTAAGGAATTGACTTCATACAAGGAATCATTGCATCCCAACCAGTTTTCTGCCTTATCCAGCTTTGTGTGATCTCTGCAATTTGAAGATATGACAATATTCTCCTTAGTTGCTCTATCATCAATTATCGAAGAAGAAAGGGTATCATCAGAACCAGGCAAGGACGATTTTTGAGCTTCCAGAGAAACATTTAGTCCAGAACCAACTGAAATCCTCTGAACTGAAACTGGAGCTTGTGCAGATTGTAATTCCGTCATAAAAGCAGTTCCAAAAAGCGATTCAAGTGTGAGTGTATCCTTATTATCTTCCTTCTTAGATCTGTCTTGCATGGTAATATCACCACGTGCCTCCAATGATTCAATTCCAGCATTGGACTTCTCTGTCACATTTCCATGATCTGGCCTCTTCTGTAATAATGAAAGGAGGTGTTGAGATGCCTGGCTATCCACAATTACAGGTTCCTTAGGCTTTGTGTGATTAGTATTCCAGCCTTGTGGCTGCGAATTAGACTTCTTTTCGCTGAACTTGGACAACATTGTATGCTCAAGGTCTTCACAAGTAAGAATGGTGGGTGCTGCCTCCCTTTTACTGGGCTTGTACACAGGCTCAGGCCCCCCAAGTGGCGAAGAAGGTAAATTGGAGACAAACTTACTTGTAGGATCAGGACTATGATAGGAGAATTCTGATGGGAATTGATCTGAAGGATTAGCCACAAAAGGTTGTGTTCTGTTTTTATCTCCACCAACAATTAATGCAAGCAGATCACCAGGCCTGCTTGATGAAGGATCATCTTCCTGCTTCTTCTCTGCAATGACATAAGTGAGATAAGACTGTTTACATAAGATGTCAAGAGATTTTGATAGAATTCAGTAAGAAATGCAGGGGGGGGGAGAGAAATAGATATACCTTCTTCGAAAAACCAATGAGCAAATTTCGATGATTGAACAGCTTTGGAGTCTAATGTTTCACTTGGTTTACTACCTTCATTCTGAGCAACATGGTCGAGCCAAAAAATAACTAGTTAGCAGGGATGCCAGAAAGCAATATGAGAAGTTTTGACCACTAAATAAGTCCACATTGTTTATTACTCCCTCTATCCAATTTATGTAGCACACTTAATCCGTCCCCAAAAGAAATGTCACATTCCTATAATTAAAAAGAATTTACCTTAAAATTTCCCTTTTACCCTTAATGAAATGAATTATAACCACATTAATGTCTACGGTTTGTTTTAGACCACAAATTTCAAAAGTCTTCCTTTCTTTTCTTTTCTTAAACTTTGTGTCAAGTCAAAAGGTGTCTTATAAATTGTGACGGAGGGAGATATTCTTGGACAGTAAAAGAGGAAAAGGAACACACAAGTTGATCCCCAGCATTTAGGCAGATGACAAAATAAAAAATAAATAAAACATCCTTCCTATTGATTGTATATGTCCTGCACCAATCCCAGTCATTGTAGGGTATCTTGTAAAATTATTTTTCGATGTTAAGGATACTGTTGTAATCTTTGGTGTGGATGAAATGAACTGTTACCACACTCAGGATTCATGAAAACAATCACAAGTCCAATGATGAATTACTCATGAATTAATGTACAAGATTATGATCATCCTAAATAATAAATCATTTCAATTTACTTGTTTTCAAAAGCATGAAGAAATTTGAGGTGAACTGCAAAAGGACAAGTTTGTTGGGGCTTCATAGGATCGCATTAGGAATAACAAATTCAGATTCAAATAGTAGAGGCTCACAAAGCGTGCATACCATAACTGGAGCAACAGAGTCGGTGAGATTTGCAATGGCACTTCCAAAAATCTTGTCCAGGATGGAACTTGAATTGTTGATATTGGACTCCTCGACATATTTGCCCCCTGAATTCTGGGCATTGAGTTTCAAAATCAAGGGCTTGTTCAAAGCTTCATGTTCCTCTAAACTTGAAGTCCGGAGTGAATGATCTCTCATGCTATATTTCCTATCGGAATCATCTGAACCCACTGACAAGTTCACAATTTGGTCATTCTTCTTCAAAACTGAAGCATACAAACAACTGTGCTCAAGCTGATCACTCGAACTAATTTCTTGGAAGCTCTCTCTTTCTAAGCTCTGATGGATACCATTTTGGGCGTCGGCTTTGGCTTCCAATAAAATTTCTTCAGTTTCATGCTTCCCTATCTGTAGAAGTGATATGACAAGCAGACAATTAAAGAAAATACAAATGTGGTTCATAAAGACCTATTGATATCAGGAAAAAAAAAAAAGATCAAGGCCTATTGATGTCAATTGTAAATGTACCATGTGAACGGATACAACTCAAATTCCATAAACATGGAATCGAGTAACATGCGCACAACCACATGGTTATTGCTCTCTATGTTCAGTCTTTTTGGATTTTAAGCAGTTTCTAAAGTTATAACATTGGATCAAGAGTAAATTACTGAGGTGGACTAATCAAGTAGGGAAATGTGGGTTAGCCAATATCATGGTTCTTGAATGGACTATCATAGAGTCTATGAACTATTTTCACACAGAGATCTTGAAAGCTCTACATCTTTAAGTAGTATATCTTTGTGTAACAACAGGATGGGAACATCTCCACCACAAGAAGATAGAAAGGACATCCCCACCTACACATGACATGCTCCTCTTTTGCAAAACCAAGCTGTGTAAAAAGAATTTGAGTATATGACATGGAAAAGAACCCTTCTTTTTTATAAGGTATAAGTTTCAATGTTTCATTAATAAAGTACCAAGAAGGTACAAAAAAGTACAACAAACAAAAAGCCCCTGCAATAGATTATGGATAGAACCCTTCTTTCCTGATCCTTTGGCTCATTCACTCTTCTTTCCGTTTCATTATGTTTTTTTGGCTACACCCTCTAGTACAAACCAGTATACATAGATATTTCTTGTTTTTGCTCTTATAGTTAGTAGTAGTAGTAGTTTGTACAAAATTCACAATCTTCAACTTTGCAGCGCACACATATTAATAGAATTTTTTATTGTGAGATTACACACATTAATAAGATTTGTACTTCAATTCAATAAAGCATACTATATTGATATCCTTATCCTTAAAATTATCTATTAATATTTTTATTCTACTCTCAAATCTTAATGACATGACTTGTTAGATTCACTTGATATAAAAATTCATTTCCTTAAGAGGAGTGAAATAAAAACATGTGCAACTATCACAATCACTTATTTAAAATAATAATTTTGTGCTTCTAATAAATTCACTAACGTGTTAAACGCCTATCTAAAATTTTGTGTCTAATCTAATGTTCTAACATAAATAGAACAAATAAAGTAAAATAGTGTAGGGTTCATTTAAGTACTTTATGTTGATCCTCACTATAGCAAACAGATCTGACCTTTCAAAAAATATGTTAAGAGTTAAGATAATTGACTATTTAAAAGCCATGTAATTTGAAAAAAATATTTAGAGGACTGATTTGGAAATGACTAACACCTTATGGTTGCATATGAATTATTTTCATAATTTATTTTCAAAGAAAATTTCATCAACCTATCAAAATTTTAAAGTCCTAAATTTAGTAGTACTTTATTCCATAAATAAACTAATTTACTATTTTTATATATTAAATAAAAATGTAAAAACCTTTGAAGAAAATTATGTAAAAATAAGAGAGAGTGTGTGTGTTAAGTAATTTTCCACTAATTTCCTCTTTTTTATTTGTTTCCAATAAACGATATTGACTATTTGTCGTATTAATGTTTCAGTTTTAATTTTTTTTTATGACAAGGGAAACCCACAGCCGCTCCCTTTTAGGTGCGCACAAGGTAAAACCCCGCTCTTATGCAATAGCTCACAAACCACACATGAGAGGTAACCCACACTAGGCATGCCCGGTGCGACGAGCTCAACCCAGAAGGAAAACCCCTTGCTTTCGTTGGCAAGAGGTTTCAAACTTGAGACACCTCCAACATGGAAATCCCAAGCCCAAACCCCTGGGACACCCCGAAAGGTCATTTTTAATTTACAACACACAATTTTTATTTTTTATAATATTAAGAAATTATGCCATTTAATTCAAATAAGGGGAAAAAGGTATAATGTTAATTGATTTTAAAGTCCTAAATATTAAGATTCCCTATGTACATAAAAAAATTAAACTACAATAACATACTTAGTGTAGTCCCACAAGTGAGGTCTGGCACAGTAAGATGTACGGAGACCTTAAACCAAGCATTTGTGGGGCAAAGAAGTTGTTTCCGAAAGACTCACGGCACAAAAGAATAGAAAATAAAGGGCAAGAAGAGAACAAAGAAAGAGAGAAAGGAATTAGACACATGCATGCAGGGAGAAAATAATACGATTTAATACGTCAAGATAAGTTAAATCAAAGACTTGAAAAAAATTATGTTAACAAATTATTTTTATTTATATGATGAATATGGAAAAGAACTGAATTGGATTTTTTTTTACAACCGTGGTGTTTGAATCAACTTTCGTGCAACTTGACTAATTTCACGGCATACATGTCACCTCCCACTAGTAACAAGTATCAGGTAACTCTGTTCTAGCCTTGCCTCTGTCCGTCAAGGCTAGAACAACTAAAAAGAAATCACTTAGTGTTTTTGTCCCTGATGGGAATTGAACCTCAGACATCATGGTGCTCAACCTATGACATTGACCACTAAGCCACACGGCCACACCCTTGGGTGCAATTGAACTGGATTATTAATCTAATAATGAATTCAAAGACTTCATTATTTTCTCTCAACATTAAACGAAATCATTTATTTTTTGTTGATTCAAATGCTTAGCACTAGCTCATAAGGATATAATTTATTTAAGATGATTAAATTTTAATCGACTTTAATGTCCTAAATATTAAGACATCTAACCCAGTTCAAATAAGGAAGGATTTTTTTTTATAATCGAGGACTTGCCCTTTGGACCAATCACAGTCTTCTAAACTCGGTGGATAATGGACCCGCCCCTCTACCTTTCTCCACTTAAATACCGAGCTTCACTTTGCATGGTGTGGGGCTTGAACTTGCGACCTAAGCCACAAATCCTCCACCTTTTGCCACTCGAGCTAGGCCTTGGGGGCAGGATTTTATTTAATAAAAATGTAGTTGATTTCAAAATCCTACATATTAAAAAAGTACGGAAAGTATTATACATGGTTAATTATGTTGTTTTTTTTAGAATTATACATTGATTTTAGATTCAGAATATTAGAACTTCCAATATAGTTCAAATAAGAAAAATATTCAATAAGCAAATTTAATTGATTTCAAAATCCTAAATATGAAGAGAGAGAAAAATCTAAATCAACAATAAAAAATATAGACAATCGTATGGCCTTGTGGGACTAGAACTTCAAGACGAGGTAGAATTTTAGTTCTCATGGACAAAAGAAGTATTTGAGAATCCATGTAAATTCATTCTTGATTCTTCTATTATTATTGTCTAACCAAACCAAAACAAATTAGAAATAATTATATATAGGCAGAAAACTAAACCTAAATAAATTATTCTTTTCATCCCAATTTTTAGGCACAAAGTTTAAGAAATATGAGAAGACTTTGCAATGTTTCGATATTACCCTTAAAATAAACGATTTTTTTAAATAGAAGAGTACACCTTTGTGAACTTTTTACCAAATAAGTGGAACCCAACATGGGTAAAATGTTGATAGTGTTATAAAATATTTGTCAAATGAGGAAATGTGCCATTCTTTTGGGATCAACTAAAAAAGAAAGTGTGTATGTGGGACAGAAGGAATATAAAATAAATATCAAGGAAATTTTTTATTTAAGTAATACTGTAATTGATTTTAAATTCCTAATTATTAGGAGTTCTTATTTAATTCAAATAAATAATGATCATAATAGTCAAAATTTAGTTAATTTTAAAGTCCTAAACATTAAGAAAATAATTAAATGACAATTTACTCCAATGTGAAATCAAATTTCAAAGGGTAAAAAGGCAAACAACATTTCGCTAAGGACGTTCGTGTTTTTAATATAATATAGATATAGATAGTATATGTGTGTTGTGTGTACATAGGAATGAGACTAAGCTACTAAACATTATAAAGGATTAGGCTGATTAACAGCATTGTATCACCTGGCTGCTGAAGAGTGAAGACAGCCCTAAATGTTAGAAATATCTTGGATCCCTTTCCTAAAGCCCATCATTAAGAAGAGAGGGAGGAAAAGAACACTAAAGTCCAGGCCAATAAATGCACAATGCTGAGCGGATAACCAAGCCAAACAATATACAATGCAGAGTGGTTTACTCCATCTCTAATAATGATGCACCTGATTTGATGTTAATGTATAAGATAAACTAAGAGATGTACAAGTACCTCTGTCAAACATGACTGGTTCAAAGTTGTTGAGCCAGAAGTCTTATCCGTAACAGTGGTTTTAAAGCCCGGGGGCACAAGCGGTCTAGATGGAAGATTCTGTAAAGAGGAAGATGATTTTCCAGAATCATTATTTGTGATAGGCTGGCTGTCCATTATATCTACTTTAGTATTCTTGTCTAGAAGCCCCCGATCCTTTTTATCATCTTCCAGCAGTACCGAGATTTCTGAATCAAATTCAGCTGTGTGCTTCTCTACATTCGGTTTCTGCTTCTCTTGAAGAACCTTCTGCTGTTCCTTCCTCATCAACTCAAAAGAAGCTGTAAGAAAGCCAATCAAAGCTCAATTGTCCACTAACTCGTCAAAATTGCATATTTTATATGTAAGAGCCATGCATGATATTACTGAAAGAGGAAATACCTCTTCTTTTCCTTTCCTCCTCCACTCTGTCCTCACTTGCACACTCAATTGAACCAAAGGTCTCATCGTCGCATGCATCAGTGTTTCTACGAGAATGAGGTACTGCCTGAAGGTATTGCAAGAATAAAATTGAATAAGTTAAATTCCTCTCAAAGATCTTCAAGCATAATCTGAAATAATGGGACAAGTCATGCAGCAGACCAAGCAAGTGGTCACTGCGTGAGCAGCAATGATCAAGTGAAATTCACCTTATAGGGGCGAGGAGGATGGTATGGCTCATTGCTCCTGTTAAGTTGATAGTTATCACTTGTTCGGACCTTGGTTGCAGTCCCAGATGCATACGCAGATGGCCTGGGAAATGAACCACTTCCAAGAAGCCCATCATGCTCAGAACTCTGCCAAGTGCGTCTGCCTTGATTACCATAGCGTCTACCAGGATCTGTAGAAAATGTTGGCCAAATAGAGCTTTCTTAAAGAAAATTTACCATTTAGTACCCACATGCACGTGCGCATAAAATGAAAAATAGTGGAAGACACATGGTACGCAGGATCAAGGTCAAATACCCTATAGTTCTTAAATGCAAGAGGAGCACTATTTCTGCAAACCAGTGATCTAATAGTGAGTATTGAAAGAAGTTGGAGCTAAAAATTAACCTACAAATACTTAAAAGACTTTCTCAGAATTCAGGAGACTAATGACTTGACCACAACTATAACCTGCATCCCAATTCTTGTTATGGAGATGCATTTAATGCAACAAAAGACTAACTTGCAGAAGATTAGAATGAATTTAAAAGCCTTTTGTTTTTTTGGTGTAAACAGAATCTTGTAGGGGATATAGTAGATTTAGTTGATTTTATAGGAAACTTGTAAAGTATACCCATGGGTGGGATGTAAGTTTCCAATTCATCATTTTTTGGATGATGAATTTTTTGGTGTGAATACAAAGTTACCCTTGTCTCAAAAAAAAAGACGAGACCTTTAATACGCATTCCTCAGACTACTATTTATAGAGATCACAGATGGAACAAATATAGTACTCGAAGAAGGAATAAGCATATGAAAGGCACTTATGCAGCAGCCACGAAAAAACAACCAACAAAAAAAGAAGAAAAAGTTACCATAAAATGTGGTACTTGACAGGAGGATATAACATTGATTTGATTTACCCAAATATAGCTATCTGAGTTAGATTGGAATGTTTTTGACACTTTTCACCCGACTATATTGGTTTTTGAACAATAAAAATAAAAAAACAGTGTAATCCCACAAGTGGGGTCTAAGGAGGGTGGTATGTACGAAGCCTTACCCCTACCTTTGCCAAGTCTAACAAACAAAAAGAAAAAAAAAAGTGGTTTTTGAAGAAAAGAAGAAAAGGTTGCAAAGTTGAGTAAGAATGATGTTTAGTTAGAAGGAGCACACCGCTGCAGCATTACACAAGTTCCCCACCCAGCATAGGATAAATGAAGCACAAGAACAAAAAAGACAGTGCCTTCAGCATTGTGGATTAGCTGGCATCTAATTGTCCGGATGCCCCATGAGAAGTCAGTTTCTTTGGGAAGGAAATTCTTAAAGGAAAAGGTTCATCTGGTAAAGTGGCTGGAGGTTATAAAGGGTAAGCAAGGTGGAGGTTTGGGAGTTAAAGATTTGAAACTTCACAACAAGAGTTTGTTGCTCAAATGGTTGTGGAGATCCAATGAAAATGGAGAGAAACCCTGCAAGAAGCTTATTGACATCAGAGAAGGGTTCTGGACACCCTGTAGTGTCTACGCCTACAAAAGTGGATTATGGGAGCAGATATATAGATTATGGTCAGAATTTCAGAAATACATCTCATTGGAAGTTGGTGATGGGAGAAGAATCAGATTTTTGACAAGATGTCTGGCTGGGAGAAAAAAAAGTGATGAACAATATCCTATATTGTATAGTTTAACCAGGAAAAAACAGTGTACAGTTGCATAAATGCTAGACAGAGGAGGAATGGAGATTCAATTCAGGAGAAATTTTGATGAATGGGAAGATGATGAAATTGGTCAACTTCTAATTTTTTTGAACCTACGATCCTTGATGCTAGTAGGTTTGATTCTGAGATTGGGATAGCAGAAAATGATGAGAAGTTCTCTGTAGAAAGTTGTTATTGTCTTTTGTAGAAACCAGTAAGTTACTAGGTGATTTCTTCCTATCTGTCCTGGCCTTGGTGGATAGAGTTACCGGGTACTTGTTGCTGGTGGGAGGTATCCTGAGGAATTAATTAAGGTGCACGTAAGCTGGCCCGGACACCATGGTTCTCAAAACAAAAAAGTAGGTCACTGGGATTTGACTTGGCCATGGATGCTGTTGTGGAATCACAAGCACCTCTTAAAGTAGCTTGTTTTGACTGGTTGCAGCTAGGAATGCATGTTTAACATAGGAAATGTTGTGGAGAAGAGGAATTTCTCAGTGCAGTATATGCTTTTTCTGTGAAAATTCTCAGGAATCTGCAGTATTTGTTTCTGCATTTTAGTCACGCAAAGCAGCTCTTCCTATACATGAGTGGTGTGCAATGGGTGATGCCAAAGAATGTGGAAGTCGAAGACCTTTGGTTTACTGGCAGAATCAGAAAGTTAGGAAAAACCTAAGAGACATGGGAAGGCCATACCTCTTGGCATCTTTTGGACCATTTGGCCTAGGACCCAGGTTAGCGTACTACGATGGCCTACGACCATGCAAAAGAGCAATTATTTTTTTTGAATAGTCTACTTTACTACAAAGTGGACAGGGGATCCTGCGAATCTTTAGCTTGTGGTCTCACGGCAGTAAATTGTACACCCATGGACTACAAATATGTATTCATAGTTGAAGCATCACGTTTAACATAGACAATAACTATATATGAAAGAATATCAGCTTTACCTGAATCTTTATCTGATTGTGAATCACTATCTCGATCACTACGCCCTGAGGAACGGCTGTCCCATCTTCCATAAATGCCTCTGGAACTGCCATCAGAATCCCCACGAGTAGGTGGAGACGAACTATAATCATTGCGTCTGAAACCTTGAGATGGCAAGCTTCCAGGTATTTTTTGGCGGTCTTGTATGCCACGTGAGGTGTCCTCAAGCTCACTATTTAAATTTAAAATGCAAATTACTAATGATGACCAAAACAAAATTACCTAGCAAAGAACTACTAACAAATTTTGGGAGAGTAAAAATTAATTGCTCCAAAATTTCAAGCAAATGACACTTTTTGCAAACATTCTTACCTCAGGATCAACTGATCAAACCCAGTTGGTAGCTTCTGGCAAATCTCCAGTTGACCGAGTGACAAAAGAAACTCTCTTGTATATGATACTTTTGGATGCCTGAGTTATCACAAAGAGCACTGACATTAAAAAAGTTAACAAATAAACCCTGTTAGAAATTAAACAAGAAAGTTAAATCATTACTTCCGAACTTCATCACCAATTTCAGAGACGTTATTGGTGGCACTTCCATCTTCATTCTCCAAGCTCATTCTTGCGCACCAGCTAACCTCACCCACGACGAATAAGTAGCACCACTATCAAATAAATATGCTTCACCCACAAAAGCTTGATACAATAAATCAACAATAACAAACAAGATTCAATTCATGTTCTACAAACTTCTCCCAAATCAACCTCAGGAAAAAGCGATCCAATCAGATTCCAACTATCCAAGTTCGCAATAAATCACCGAAATTTATATCATAATCAACCAACCCAAAATTCTAAACGTCAATCCAAGGTCAGCATCAATCTAAATTCCCGAAACTCCAATTCAAATGAAACCGGATATAAATTATACACAGCTACCGAACAGTAATTCAGCTCCGATCTTGCACAACAAACAATCAAATCTTCACCACAAAACCAGCTCAGCTATTTCCAATTCGACTTCCACCTCCTGATAAAAAACAATGCAAATCCTAATATCGCGTACAACCTCTTCTTTTCATAACTATATACAAACAGGTAATGCTCAATACGATTCACACAATTCTAGGGTTCCATTCGTAATCAGATGTTGAAATTGAAGTTTATTGAGAATCTAGGGTTGATAATTCTACCTGGATCAAATGAGGGGGTTTGGGGTTTCGATGATTGCAAATTCGAAGTTGTTCGATTGATGGCGATAGATACAGATTATCTATACGTATCTGTATGTATTGGTTGATATATGTTGTGTATGTATATAGTCGTAAAAATGGGAGAAGAGGAGGAGGAGAAGACGATGCTTGTGGGTTCTCTCTGTTTTATCAAGAAAAAAACATAACCAAGGAGATGACGTTTGTAAAATATTTGGTTTAAATAAAAAAAAAAAAACTTTTACTACCTAAAAAGAACTTTTAGGTGAGTAATTAATTTGGAATTTTATTTGTAAAAAAACAATTTAGGAGTGTACAAAAATAATGAAAATTGGTACAATTAGTAGATATAGCTTAGATATTTTTTAATGAAAATGTGTGATTAATTGTTCATAGCTAATATTAATTTAGATAAAAGACTAACAAATGTGGATAGTGTATATAAAGTTAAAGATATAAAATATATGTTATTTAAATGTGTTCGGTTTCAATTTGTATGGGAGTGGTGTCTTAAATTGATTTGATATTGAAAATATTACGACTTTTACTATTTAGTGGTGTAACTTATTGTTCTTTAAATACTATGATTTTTTTTCCTGAAATCGTTGAATTTTAAATTTGAGTGATAATATTATGTGCCAAATTTGAAAAGATAGAAATATTTGGTTATTTAATAAGGAAAGACTAGAACCAAGAGATATTATTTCTAAATCCCTTTTCGAGTATGACGAATTTAAAAATTATTAGCTAAAAACTATCTACTTGTTCCTCAACTAAAAATCATCATGTGATTAGACTAACAAATCTACAAGATGATATTTTATTAAAGATTATTAACTAAAAGACTACCTATTAGTTCCTCAACCGAAAATCATCATGTGACTAAATTAACAGACTAAATTAACAGATCTGCAAGATGATGTTTTATTAAAGATTATTGACTAAAAGACTATTTGCTTGTTTCTCAACTGAAAATCATCATGTGATTAAACTATCAACAATGCAAGAGATATTCTATTATTTACAAATGCAAAATTTATCAGAGGGCGAGTATTGATTTGACGTTTGTGAATAGCTTCGGAAAACTATTTCATGTCCATAGATTTTTTATTTATTATGTTGGGAAAACTATGATCGATGAAACAATTGTCAGTGGGGAGACTTTTAAATGTGCAATCAACAATGGATGTAGGTAGTGATGTATGAAGATATTTGAACTCTCTTGAGCATGTTTAACCATGACCGATGAAACGATTGTTGAGGTTTTTGAATGTGCTATCAACAATGGACGTAGGAAGATATTTGGACTCTCCCAAGCCTGTTTGATCATGTCGAGTTTTTTCAAAAGTTGAATTTTATATGATGCTAAAAATACATTTGAATTATGTAGTTCCTCGATGCAGTAATACAATGTGCATCAAGCGCTTTCTAACAAATACAATTCTGCACCTAAGAGGACTCGAACCCAAGGCGGCTAGTTAAGGTGAAAGGAATACTTATCACTTCATACGAAATCTAATAGTAGCTTCATCCTAAAATACTTGTCACATATTAATTTTCGAGAGTCAAATTATATAAACTTCGATTAATATTTTAATATGTGTTTTTTGGTCATATTGATATGATAATTTTCTTTACAACTTATGGTACTTTTCGTAATTTTTGAATAGCTAAATTTTAATTTTAAAATAATAAAATCAAATTAAGTTTTAAAACAAGTTAAATTAACTCTCAAAAAATAAAACGACAATTATTTTTAAAAGAAGGAAATAAAAAATTGAAGGAGAAAATGGGATAGAAAAATAATCTTACAGTCAAACTAACATCGAATTAGTTGTTACGTATAGTGATAATATTATTCAATTGTTACATTCACATCTCTTTATAATAGCTTCATTTGTACTCTATATTTGTTTTTTCACTTGATATTATCTGCATTGGAGTCTGACTAATCCAAATTCATGCCAACTAAATACTCTATTTTTTTATTATTAGATACCAAAAATGGCATTTCACCCCTAAAAAGGTGCAATTGGTTTCACATAAACTTTGCTAAACAAACTAAAATTATTGTATTTAAAATAACAAAAACAATGTAACATACTTGTACAACAAAAACACTCACAATCTAAGCATCAAGTTGGAATTGTTTTTTGAGTAATGTTTTATGTGTCCAAAAGAGATCCCATCAAACAACCTTTTCCATCATTGAAGCATTATTTTTCTTGTGAAATTGATCTTTCTTTTGTCCCTAAATGGAACAAAAACAAAGCAAGATTTGCCAACAACAGTATTAGGATTCAAAAAAATAGAGGTCCAATATTACTGTAGAACTAGCTAGAGTAATTAACTAAACCCCAATTGCAGTTTTTCAACTCTCAAAACCTCCATTGATCACCTTCTAATCCTCATCAAAATCTCCCCACATAGAAAGGTGTGCTTTTTTCGTTGTGTGTGTATATATATAAATTTATTGCTTCAAGAATGATTATATATCAAGGTGTAGTAGTAGTTGCAATGGCCAGGAATCCTTCTTTAATCAGAGCACAACCGCCTATGCCATCAGATCTCACCTCATCCGACTGCAGTGTACTCCGCGGCGGCGCTTCCTTTCGCCGCCGTGAACTCATATTCGTCGTTAATCCCAGAGGTTTTCTTTCTTTCCAAGATTTTATTTTTCCCCCTTCTCCGTTTAAATAGTTCACCAGTACAGGTTTGTTTTCAACTTGAAATGTGTGCCTACCTACCCACACAATTCGCATTGAACCCCAAATCCTTTTCTTCATAAATGCGTCTTTTTTTAAAAAAAAAAATTTAGTGGAATGAAATAAGCTGAGGGTTCTTAAAATTGGGAAATTAAGGTGTTGATTGACATGTTTAATGAGGTTGAATTGGGAATTTAAGGCTCAGAGGTGTTGTTGATTGGTCTTTTTCATGGTTTTATTGGAGCAGGAGCTAATGGAACGACGGGTCAGCAATGGAAGAAGTTACTTCCTTACCTCAGGTCTCGCCTGGGTAATGACTGTAATGTAAGTTTCCCTAACTTATGGTTTTCTTTGCTTATTTGTTGTTAAAGTTTCTAACTTTTGGTAGAATTTTTTAATGCTTATCTTATTGGTTTTATGAATGTATTGCTTTTTCCTTATGAATTTGATGTTTTGTCCACTTTGTTTAGGGCAGATTTTTCTGAAGTTATAACTTTGTAATTGGTCACAAAGGAATAGTTTTTTTTTTATTGTCTACCCCTTTTTGAAAGTGATGACGGAATTTCATTGTTATGACGCTGCGAGACACCTTCCATTTAATAGACGAATTGAGAATGTTCATATGAAGTCAACTTTAATATACAGTAGTGATCAATACTCACATACCAGGTTTATTAGACTTCTCATGAACTAGATTGTATGTGTTGAGTTAAATTTTGATTGCAGTACTTCTGAAAATTCATGGTTTTGATCACTGTAAAGTTTTTACCAAACATGAAGGATTTAGAACTGAATATAATGGTGGAAGAACATATTGGTAACATCTCACATTTGCATGCACGAGTATCCAAAAGATCCTCAAATTCGCACGGTACCACCATCTATAGGTATCAGAATATTTGTGCCACGATATTCTGCAACATCTACCTGTTTTAAACTTTGGTGGAACTAAAATTTCCTTTTTGTGGTCCGGTAAGGATCAGAGTTTGCCCATACTCAGTCATAATAAATGTTGTTTGATATCTTTTTTTGACAAGTATAGATGCACCTGAAGTTATATTCCTGATAGTCTGTTGTAAGAGATATATTGGCCCTTGGCCTTCTCCATTAGAGGGGACCATATTTTCAACAAACCGGGAGTTTTTAAATGTGTGTAATTTTCTAGTCAAGTTTCATAAATAATGCTACCTATCTTTTCTCTTAAGTTGTTAAGATCAGAAAGTGAAATTAGCTAGAGGGTGCAAACTGTTGCCTTCCATCCTAAAATATATTTTGGCATTATCCTTTTGGCTATGCCCCAAAATGGTGGCTGCTTTCAGTATCAGCATAAGACTGCTTGTTTTCCCAGTAAATAACAAAAACCCAAGCGTTTATCAGGCTTTACTTATTCTTCGATGCTAATTAAGTATGGTAGGAGTATCATATAAGTTGATTTCTGTAAAAAATTCAACTTGGTAGGATAATATATCCCTCTTACATGGAATATATCTACGTATTGTAACTTAAATGGACAAAAATGTTTAATGCTCTTGTAGATATTACTGTAATTCTTTGTCAATGATTGTTTAGGTGAAAAAGTTCTCTCTATTTTGACCAGATATGCGAATCTTTAACTTCAGGTCCTTCTCATGCCATTGACATAACAAGAGAGGTAAACACCCAAACATCTCTGATTTAAGCTAGTATCAGGTGGAATGCAGAAACTTTTATCTCAATTGTACTGTCAGGCTATACGTGAAGGAGCTGATGCTGTAATAGCAGTCGGTGGTGATGGAACTCTTCATGAGGTTCATCCTATTTCTTTCCTGAATTCAAAAATCTCTTCTTTCTGTTTTCAAACTGCACAAGTACATGTATATAGCACTAAAAGGAAACAGAAAGGAGTTGGTGGGGGATTGTTTTTGGTGTATCAGTTAAATTTCTATTTTGTTTTTCCTTACTTGCCTCTGAGCCTCTCTAGCGTCTTCAGTTTTCAGTTGTCTTTTGTACTAAGGTGCATCCGGCCTTAAGACACACAGCTAGAATCCCGACACTGATAAAAGGAAAAAAATTAATAACTCACTTTTCTTCTAGTAGCCCAGACTGCTACCAAGTTAAAATATGCTAATATAACAAATAAAGAGCAAGTGAAATAGTGCTCATGTAAGTTTTTCTCTGTCTAAAGGTAGACTCATCTACAATTGTGGCTGGCTGGTAGTATATCATCATTTTGGCGTAGTCATACAATTTCCTTAGTACTTTTCCCGTTGAATTGTACTTAATGTTGGCTTTTCTTTTGCTGCAACTTCTATGGCAGCCTGCAGATATTATAGCTCAAACAGGATTCATATTTTCTTTTCTGTTGCCATTATATCCATGCTTAATATTAAGTTTTGGCTCAATTGATTAAAACTCATGGTTTTCAGGTTGTTAATGGCTTCTTCTGTGGTGGAAAACCTGTTTGTAATCATGATATGAACTCCAGCCATTCTACTCTTCTTGGCGTGAGTCATCATTGGCTGATTG